GGCTGGGCTCTATGAGGAGAAGTGTGGCATCAGGATTAGAGGTAGACTCAACAATCTGTGTTATACAGATAACGCAACCCTGCTTGCTGAAACTGAGGAGGACCGGAAGTGCTTGTTACAGAAGGTCAAGGACTGCAGTCTTCAATATATTTTGAAGCTCAACATCAAAGATTCTCACCACTGAGCCAATTGACAGCATCATGATACATAGTAAAGAGTTTGAGATTGTTAACAGCTTCAGTTTGGCTGGCTCTATAATCAACACTCTTGGTACCAAAGCAAGGAAATGAAAAGATGAATTGCATTGGGAAAGTCTGCTGTCAGATACCTCTCCAAAGTACTGAAAAGCATTGATTTCATTCTGGAGACTAGGTTGTGTCTGATCCAGGCCAAAGTCTTTGCAGTTACTTGTTTACATCAGAAAGCTGGACAATGACTAGGGATAATAGAAGGAGAATTGATGCCTTTGAGCGGTGGTACTGGAGAACAGTATTGAATATACCATGGACTCCTAAGAAAATGAACAGGTTCATCCTGCAGAGGGTGAAACCAGGCTGCTCCTTGGAGGCAAGAATTCTGAAGCTTCATCTGATACACTTTGGACATGTTGCAAAGAGGGACCAGTCCTTGGAGAGGGATATCATGCTTGGGAGGGTGGAAGGTCAGCACAAGAGAGGAAGACCCTCAGTGAGATGGATTGATTTAGTGACTGGGGTAATGGGGGTGGGTGTGTCAGAGACAGTGAGATCGGCACAGGATAGAGCAGTGTTTAGGGCTGTTGTATATAGGATCACTATGAGTCGCAGGAGACTTGACGGCACACGATCACCACCACCACTGTCACCACCACCACCACCACAACAAATGTCTCAAAATAAAGGTCAGGCAATCTACCACCAAAATATTTGCCATTGAAACCTGATGGAGATAGTCTTGCCCACATACACGTGTGGCTGCTATGAACCGAAGCTGACTTAATGGTGACTAGTATCATAGAGCATTGTCGGAATGGTGACCTTAATGTCCTTACAGCCCTGTCCGTCAGCACTGTCTATCCTGTGGGATCTTGCCAGTGACTCTGGTGAGTCATTGTTGTGAGCCTTTTGTTACCTTTTCCCTCTTGCTTTCACTGTCAGAGCTAAGTGTTCATTTATGCTTTTGTTTATCAGCCATTCATTAGTGGGAGTGTAATGGCAGAAGTTTGAAGAGCTCATGGAGAGCTCCAAGAAATTAGAGAGTTGGGCAATTGAAACTCTAAGGTATAAAATTAGAATCCAGTTGTCTGACTTAATGGGCCATTCTTGAACTAAATCTCTAGACCTAAAGCCTATTACACAAATGATGTGTTTATTATCAGATAGAGGATTTGAATTTAGGAATATTTTTGTTTTATGAGCTCTACTTTTGAGAATAATAGGCATATTCCCTGCTAAATATGAATGTAATAAGAAATTAATTTGATATCTTGGCCTAGTGGCAAGAATCTGTGCTGCAAACTTGAAGGCACATGGTTCAAATCCACCAGCTGCTCTTTGAGTCCTCTCATGCAATTAACTGGCTCTGAAGACCTGCTGGAAGGCCAGCTATAGATTGGTTCCAACTCAGTGGTACCCACCATCACCACCACCACCACCACCACGATCAACACCACCACCTACAATGTTTATTAAGATATATATAATCAGGATAATTCACAAATGGATTAATCATTCTGCTTTGAAGTTTTGAAAGGCCATCCCTTGAATATAACCCAACTGATTGTCATTGAGAAGGAACTGACTCACAGCTGACCCCTGGGTTTCTGAGACTGTAAATCTCACTGAGAATGCCCATCCTTCTTCCGCTGAGATACTGGTGGTTTTCAATCACCAGGGGAGTGGCTTTCAGGTTAGCAGCACAGCTCACGACTGGCGCTCCCTCGATTAAATGATGTTAAAATAAGATTGAAATGATTAGCCACCTCAGCCTCAAAATTCAATTAAAGAAAACAATACAGGCGTGCCTTTTTTTTTTTACCATATTTTACTTGATGTGCTTCACAGAGAAAATGTTTTGTACAAACTGAAGACATTTATCAAACCATGGAGGAGGGAGCTCTGGTGGCCTCGTGGATAGGGATTTGTACTGTCCGTTCAAAGGTGAGCCTTTCTAATCCACTTTCTGCTTCATGGGAGAAAGACAGCAACCTCCTCCCATGTGATTTACAGCCTCTGAAAACCTGCTGGAGGGTCAGCTATGGGCTGGTTCCAACTCAAAGGGATCAAGTGGATGCATTGAAGAAGTCTAGTTAGTGGTTCCCATTTTGTCCAACAGCTTATACGCTAACTCTGTTTCTGGGTCGCATTTTAGTAAATGTCGTACTACTCCAGACTTTTTCATGTTGCCACTGTACACTTATCCACGTGGTTTCTGTTGTTAAGCCAAGTTCATTCTAACTCCTGTGGTTTTCATTAACAACAGATGGAAACCTTACTGGATCCCGTGTGAACCTCACAGCCTCCACCATGCTCACACCATTGCCACTGTCACTCTGCCAATCCCGCTCCTTGAGGGTCTTATTCTCCTTTGCTGACTCTCTACATTTCAGATAATGATGCCCTTCTCGATGGATTTTTAGACTGCAGTGTAGTATAAACCTAACTTTGAAATGTGCCAGGAACCCAAAAACTTCATGGTATCCACATTATTGCAATATTTGCTGTCTTGTGAAGGTCTGAGGCCTAGAACCAAAACCCAAGCTTCACTATCTCCACGGAGCAAAACATTTGCCTGGACTTGTCAGGTAATTTTCCTTGAAGGCCTAATTATGATAAAAAAACCAAGAAACATGAAGCAAAACAGAGAGAACATGCTTTTCACTTGGGACGGCTGCCTAATGTCCTCGAGGTCTGCTTGTTTTCTCTTTTTCTTTGTTCCTGGGCAGGTGAGCCCTCACTGCCATTCAGAGATGAGAAGGCCAAAGGATGATGGGTGCCTGTGGCAGGGCTGTTGTCCCAAAGAGAGCCACAGCCTCACGTCTCCTGAGCTGCTGAGCAAAGGCCGGCCCAGTCTAGTGGGCACGTGGGCTGTAGACAGGGGCAAGCTGGACGCTATGTATCTTGCGGCTCTTGCAAGTGGATTTGATTTTTGTCACCAGTAATATTGGCTCATATGTCCAAGCACTCACCACACATGCATCCTAAGCATGGCCCTTTTGTGCTGTGAAGCTGGGTCTACTCAAAGTGACCTCGTGTGACAGAGCACAACTGCCCCATCGCCTTTTCTCAGCTTTAACCTTTACAGGAGCACACTGCCATGTCTTCTCCTTCCTATGAAGTCGCTAGGTGAGTTCTAACAGCCAGCTTTCTGGGAAGCAGTTGAGTTCTTAACCATGGAGCCATTACACTATCCACAGATGCCCAGACTATTCCAACTCCATCGGGTTTCTGTGGCAGCAAATCTTTGCAGCAGGAGGAAAATCTGGTGGATTTGAACTGGCAGCTTTTAAGCTAGGAGCCCAACAGGTAACTCAGTATATGCCATGGTGGGGCGGGGGGCTCCTATTGTGTATAAAATTAAACTCAGCTGAACTCAGTATCATCAAGTCAGAACCAACTCATAGCTGAAACTGTCTAGTGGATATTTAGAGGCTGTAAATCACACGGGAGGAGTTTGCCCACCTTCTCCTGCAAAGCAGCTGGTGGATTGGAACTAAATGCCTTTGGGTCGGCAGCACAACTTCCTAACACTGGGCCACCAAAGCTCCTTTCATTATATATGAAAGCCGATATTGTTGTGTAGGTATTGTTAATTGCAATTGAATCACTGAAGAATTTGTAAAAGCAAAATGTAGAAAGAAATATTTTCAATCACACTATATTAGAGATAAGAGATCTGGCTAAAAAGAAAAATAGAGTAATATGTTGTCATTCTTATTTTTGAATTACTACCTTTTCATTTGTAACATCTCTTCATTGGTTGATTTCTAATCATAGCATTTTATGAACTAAAGGTTGAAGTGGAGTATGAGCCACTTAAAGAAAAAAATGGTGCAAGTGATATGAGACCGGCAGAATTTAACACTGATGAGTGAAACAGCAAAGGTCACTGACAAATTTTCTTTGCCGTAAAATACGTGGAATTTTACTTTGTAGAAAATGTGTTGTCGAGTCAAGGTCTTAGCACCCACCATGGAAAGGGTAACTCACATTTGCTGCTGTTAGGTGCCATCTAGCCTTGCTGAGAATCATAGCAGCCCTATGAACAATAGATTGAGATCCTGCCCTATCTGTGCCATCACCCTGGTCTTCGTGAGGCTCAAGCCCATCGCTGCAGTCACTGTGTCAATCCATCCTCTTAAGGGCCTTCCTCCTTTTCATTGACCCTCCACTTTTCTAAACATGGTGCCTTTTCCTCCCAAAAACTAGCGCCTGGAAATACCTCATTTAATCACGATGCTCCTTAGAGACAAGGATGGTAAAATGTCGTCTCATATACTGTGGGCACATTGTTAGGAAGCACCACCCTTAGAAAAGCACATCAGGCTTGGAAAAGGAGAGAGTAGGCAGAAGAGAGGAAGACCCTCAATGCGGTGGATTGATGCAGTGACTGGAACAATGGGCTTGAGCCTGGTGGAGATGGAGAACGAAGAAGACTAGAGAAAGGCTTTGCTTTATGGAAGGCTAGGGCTTTGTTCTGTTGTTCATAGTGTGACTGTGCATCAAACTTGATTCAATGGCACATAACAAAATCACACTCAAAAGTAGATACTATTGTGATTATTATTCCCATTTTATAGATTCCAAAACTGAGGTGCAGAGAACTTAGGTAATACAGAAAATAGTACTGTTTATAAGATTGCCCATATTTCATTTTACATATAATTCATCATGAAGGAATTCACTGAAATCTTTAGTCTAGATAACTGGTACAGCTGTACCAGTGTTTCCAGCTGATCCACAGAGCAGCAGACTGTCCCCCTTCCCTCCTGGAAGCAGGGTGTAGGATGCCCACACACCTACCTTTCTGGCAGTGCCGCCCCTCGAAGCCCAAGGGGCAGTCACACTCATAGCCGTCCTTCCTGGGTCGGCAGCTGCCCCCATGGGCACAAGGGGACCCCACACAGGGATGGGCTGCATTCTCCACGTTCACCCCAGATGTAAAGTCATGCTTCACATGGATGGTCCTGTCGTTCAAGATGAGCTTGGGGACAGAGAATATAAAGGTATTCAAAGGGTCAGAAAATATTTTAAACTCTTCCAGATATCTATGTACAGAGGTGAGCTTACTCAAAAGCCCCCAGTTGTTGGTTTTCGAGTCTTGTAAGTGAAGATGAGACCTGATGGCAGCTAAGGGTGAAGGGCAGGGCTCCGAGCTCTGAGCCGGTAACAGCCCACCAGAGATGCCTTGGAAGAAGGGCCTGGTGATCTGCTTCTAAAATCTTAAGCCCACTATTGTTGAGGCAATTCTGGCTCACAATCACCCTCTAACTGGTTCCTGAGGTTGTAAGTCTTCACAAGAGGGCACTGCCTGTCTTGTTCCTAATGAGCCGCTGGTGGATTTGCAGGCCCACCTTTGGCTTGGCAGCCTTTGGGTTACCTCAGTACGGCTTACTTATGAAATTAACTCTACAGAGACGGGTCTACTCACAACTTAGGGGCTGTCGTGGCTACAATGGATTGATGACACCTATCAGATGGAAGCTGACCGCCACATCTTTCTCCCTTGGAGAGGATGGCGGATTCAAACCACTGTCCTTTTGGTTCATAGCCCAGTGCTTTTCCCTCCCTGCATCATCAGGGCTCCTGGAGAGAGGCCCAAATATCCCACAGAGCCTCACTTCATTGAGTCCACCTACTTCACTTCATGCCACTTATTCATGAAGAGGCTAAGAAAACTGTATTCCAGAAATTTCTGCAGAGCATTCAGAATCTCACCACAATTTCCCTTTCCCAGGCCACTGAGTGCAGGACTGTGAAACAGTCACGCAGGCCCGTGATAAGCAAGACTGTCATGCTTACCACTGAACATGTGCATGGCCGTGACCCTGTCGCCGGATCACCAGGAGGGAGGAGGTCTTAAGGAAGTGAGTGCAAAAGGCGAGTGCTGGGTGAAGGGCAGGGCAGAGCCAGAAAGGATCCTTCCTTGCCAAAGTGCGAATCAAAGCAGGACTTGTATTCCTAGTGGCTTCCTGTGTGAGGATTTCAGGCACCGCCAGCAGGGGATTCTCACGCCTGGTGGTCCAGGAAGCGTCCCAGGAGACAATGCTCTTCAGGGTTCTCAACGGCTGGGCTTGATGTTGAGATGCCATCCCTCATCAGGAGTACAAACGCAGGGTGCCAATCAGCAGGAGAGCACAAGTTTATCCTTTGATCTAATACTAAGCAATTCATGCAAGAAGCTGGACTCTATGAAGAAGAATGTGGTTAAGGATTGGATGGGCAGAAACACACAAATAGAGTGTGTTAGCCTAGCCACAGGGAGACTGGCTAGTCTTGCCATTAACTCGAGCAGATCCAGTAACAGAATGAGAGAAGCTCATTGCTGGTCAAGAAGCAGCAAGAAAATCAGTACGTCCTTTGGGGCCAGAGGTTCTTATACCAGGTAGACCAGGGCCTATGGGAGCAGCAGCCATAGCAGCCTCTGTGAGATCCAGAGACCTGAAGTGAGAGGGAGAGGACTGTGGGACTGCTACCTCTGAACCAGAACTAGCAGCCTTTGCCCAAGTTTGCTGGGCAACTGGGGGTGGGGGTAGAGGGAAGAGCCATAATTAGCAGGACTGAGAACTCTGTAACACTGACATAAAGCCATGAAGTTCAAGGCTGAGGCATCTGCAAGCATGTTTTGGAAGCTGCTCTAATAGAGTTATTATATCCTGCTGTTGCTGTTGTTAGAAGCCATCGAGTCAAGCATGACTCATAGCTACTCTATGAACAAAAGATCTGAACCCTCTTCTATCCTGTGCCATCCTCATACTTCCTGACACACAAGAGGCATTACAGTGGTCACCGTGTTAATTCATATGTTTGAGGGTCTTTCTCTCCTTTTCCGACCGTCCACCCTTCCCAGCATCATGACCCTTTCCAAGGAATAGCATCTCCTAGCAACATGCCCAATGTGTGTGAGGCGAATACTCATCATTCCTGCCTCCAAAGAGCACTCAGGCTGCACCCTCTCCAACATATATCTGTTTGTTCTCTTGGCCGTCCCTGGGACGTTCAGTGCTCTTCTCCATCCAACACCACAGCTCAAAGGCATCAATTCTTCTGTTATCCTTATTTGTTGTCCAGCTCTCAGATGCATAGCAAGTGACTGGAAAGACTATTGCTTGAATCAGACACATTTTAGTCGTCAAAACGACATAATTATGCCTCAATAATTTCAAGAGGTCCTTACCTGCAGATTTTCCCAGTGCAATATATCTCCTTATTTCCTGACTCCTGGTACCAACTGTGTTAATTGTGGATCCAAGCAAGATGAAGCTGTTGACAGTTTCAATCTCCTCTCTATCCACCATGATGTTGTCTATCGGTCCACTGGTAAGAATCTTTGCTTTCTTGACATTGAGATTGTATTCTGCTATGAACCTTGATGACAGCCTTTTGGCTTCCTTACTATGGTTCTGTGTGGTCTGTGAGTTATGGCAATAGATTTTGGACCCAATAAAGCAGTAAGATTGATCTTGGGATGAGTAGAAAGAGATGGGAGAGTGTGAGGGACATGTCTGACCTCATAAAAATGAGTTCTGTGGTGTGGGTTTTGTGGAGTTGGTAAAAATCAGCCCCGGCTGTCCCTAGGCTGCCCCTGCTCTTTTTACACTCCTTAGAAACCTCTGTGATGCAGATGACACAACTTTGGTCTCTGAAAGTAAGGAGGACTTGAAACACTTGCTGCAGAAGATCGAGGACTACAGCCATTTATATCAGTGGCATCTCAGCATCAAGAAAACAAAAATCTTTACCACTGAGTCAAAGGCAATTATCATACTAAATGAAGAAAAAAGTTGTTAATGATTTCACTGTAGTCAAGAGATCAGAAGATGGAACAAAGATTTAGAAAAATACTACATAACTTGGGAGAGACAGGAGAGCATTATGCTGAGTGAACTAACTCAGTGTCATAAGGATAAATACTGCATAGAACCACTGCAAAAATACAAGGATAATCAGTAAAACATGTATGAGGACCCAGGGGAAGAAGGGGTGGGATCAGAGGAGTGAGGATGTGCAGGGGTGAAACCACAGGGTTGTGTAATTTGGTGGGTGGAGGGAGGGGGTAAAGGAAAATATCTGGTGGGAACCTGAGAAGGTTCCTAATGATGGGCCTGATCCAATGGTGATTACTTTTACAAAACGTAATGCATAGGGATGATTGTCTGAAACAATGTGAATGAAGAATAGTGTGAAACACAATGGATATGGACTTTGTAAGAAAACCAATATAAAATAAAATTTTTAAAAAAATCATTATGGCAAAAATTAAAAAAAAGAGATAAGAAGACACGTTGCCTTGAGAAAATCTGCTGTGAAACTTCTCCAAAGTTCTAAGGAGCAAGCAATGATGTCAGTTTAACTACTGATGCAAGCTATGGTCTTTTCTACTGCATCCCGTGCATCTCAAAGTCAGCCGATACAAAGGAAGAGAGAAGAAAACTTGGTGTCTTTGAGCTGTGGTGTTGGAGAATACAGAACACCCCATAGACTGTCAAAAGAACAAACTAGTTTGTCTTGGTGGAAGTGTCCCAGGTATGCCTTAGAAGCAATGACAGTCAAACGTCATCTCACATGCTCTGGACATATTATCAGGAGGGACCATGTTATCTGATGGCTTAGCACTAAGGAGTTGTGCTACCAATCCCCAGGCAAGCAGTTTGAATCCACCGGCTCATCTGTGAAAGAGAGCTGGACAATCTCTTCCTGTGGGATATACAGTATTGATAGGAAAACCCACCAGAGGGTCAGTTATAGGTTGGTTCTGACTTGAGGGTATACGACAACAAGAGTGTTCAGTACCTAGAAAAAGATACTGTGCCTGGAAAAGGATCGATTGACACAATGGGCTGTAGTATTTCAGAGATGGTGAGGAAGGCGCAGGATAGGGCAAACTTCAGATCTGTTATTCGTAGAGTCGCTACTGACCCTCCACCTTGCCCAACAGGCCATCGGAGTTCACTCTCTGAAAACCCACTGGAGGATCAGCAGGTTGGGTCTCACTCGAAGGTAATGAGACAAATATTCTCTCTCAGTGTTGAGTGTCCTCGGAGATCTTGGCTGGTGCTTCCACCGTGTGTCTTCTCCTAACCAGGAGCAGGAAAACAGGAGGCCCCACTGGTGGAGCAGGTCCTGGATCTTTTCACTAGATGGGTGAATTTTTTTCTGTGCCTTTGATGCCTTAATCTCTGCTTTTAAGAGTTTGGTTACATGATTGATGAGCAACAACTGCAGAAGCATGGGATAGGGTGGGCATGAGAGTCGACTCTTGTTTGAACAAACTTCAAAGCAATTCCAAAGTAAAGCCAAGGGCTAAGATTAGAGGCAGCTCCCTGTTTCTGAATATCTGACTTACACAGAACCCACAGTTACAGCAACCGATATTATATTAAAAATTTGAAGTATGTGCTCAAGCTTAGTAACAATAAATGGGGACCACTTTACAATAAATATAAAAACATTAGTATATTATTCTGTTAAAGATCTGAGCGTATCTTGGAAAGGTTTAATTTTTTTATGCACCAAAAGATACGCTGGTTTTGGGTGCCCTTAAGTTGACTAAGACTCTGTTGCTGTTGTTGTTGTTGTTAGGTGCTGTTGAGTTGAGTACAATTCATAGTGACCCTATTAATAATATATCTGAACCATGGGCTATCTTGTGCCCAGTGCAGCAGCTGCCATGTCAATGCACATAGTCAAGGGTCTTCCTCTCCTCTGTTGACCCTCTACGCTTCCAAGCACCATGTCCCTCTCTAAGGAACAGCCCCACCCTTGCAACATGCCCAAAGCATATGAGACCTCAGGGTCTTTGCCTCCAAAGAGCACTTTGGCTGCAAAGTCTCCAAGACATATCAATTTGTCATTTTGGCAGTTCATGTTCAGTCCTCTTCTCCAACACCACAGTTCAATGGCATCAATTCTTCTTCTGTCATCCTTATTCATTGTCCAGCTCTCAGATGCACCGCAAGTGATGGGAAAAACCATGGACTGAATCGAATGCACCTTAGTTCTCAAACTGACATCCTTATTCCTCAATAATTTGAAGAGGTCCTTAATTGCAGGCTGTCCCAGTGCAATACATCTCCTGTTTTTCTGACTGCTGGTACCAAGGATGTTAATTGTGGATCCAAGTAAAATGCAGTTATTGACAGTTCCAATCTCTTCTCCATCCATCATGATGTTGCCTATTGGTTCAGTGGTAAGAATATTTGTCTTCTTTACATTGTGATGCCATTTATAGTAAAGGCTGCTCCTTGATCTTTGCAATAAATGCTTCAAGTCCTCCTCACTTTCAGCAAGCAAGGTTACTTAATCTGCATAACACAGGTTGTTGACGAGTCTCCCTTTGATCAGTAAGCCACATTCCTCTTCATAGAGTCCAGCTTCTTAAACAATTTTCTCAGAAAACAGATTGAATAGGTAGGGAGAGAGAATACAACACTGACACACTCCCTTCTTAATTTTAAACCATGTAATATTCCCTTGCTTTGTTTGCACAAAAGCCTCCTGGTCTAGGTATAGGTTTTGCATGAGCACAGTTAAGTGTTCTGGCACTCCCATTCATCTCAATGTCAGCCAGACTCACTAGGGGCTTTTCAGAGGCTGTAAATAACACAAGAGTAGATTGTCCATCCTTTATGAAGAGTAAATGGATTGGAACTAATTGTCTTTGGGTTTAGCAATCCAATTCTTACCCCTCAGGCCACTAGTGTTTCCCATCCTAATCTAAGGACTGCTACAGGCTATCAGACTCTAGTGGCCTCCTTCCTGGGTGTGGAAGCACTGATTATGACTGGTGTCATCTGTCTCACTCACAGGCCCTGAATATGTTTGTTGGATTCCCCATAAGAATTCATCTTTTCATATGATTGAGTATTATCGTCATGACAGGAGTCCAGAATGAAGGCTGCACAGTGGAGTGACCTTGGGGGAAGGGACTGCATAAAAATGAGAGTTTTTCTTTTGCTTTTTAAGGAGAAGAGTGAATCAAAGGGGAGGAGGTGGGCAGGGAGAAAAGTGCAGCAATGAATGACTGGAAACTCTAAACCTCTGTAAACTTTCATTAAAATTAATCAAAAAAATTTTTTAAAAGAATTTATTTTTCCCAAGCAACCTTCCTGGACTGTCTCCTGGACATCACTCAGGAGCAGATAATTTCAGAAAGTGGGGATGGAAAGCTGTGATGTGAGCAATAAAAACCAAACCTTTACATTTTTATAAAAATTTCTTGATGGTTTTCGTTTTGGCTCAGCAGGTTATACAGTTTGCAGTTCTCAACACCCTTGTCCTTTGTGATGACTGGAGTCTGGATCACACCAGACAGAGGAGGAAATTAAGGCCATACCTTCTGGATGCTCCCGCTAAACGGCTTGAAGATGCCCGAGTTCTTCTTCACGTGGTCGTAACTGGGGACGCCACCAACAAATATGTCCGTGTTGCACTTGATCTGTGTGAAGCCTCCCTGGCAATGGAGTGAAAATGATACCCGGCATAAAAATGGATTGTCAAGAGGGTCAAGTGTACCCCATGCCTGTTCATGAACCCAGTGGTGTCAGGACTGGTCACAGCCCCCTGTCCACACATCAGCTTGATTTGCTCACTGCTGTGTGCCACTGCTCACCACTGCTTAGCAGCACGACTCCCTGGGAACTGCACCGCCAGAGCTCCCTCTTACTGTTATCGCCTACAGAAAAGGAGGAGGGACGGTGGCGAGGGTGGGTGACAGGCAAGCAATTTTTGCTTTATGGACAATCTCTTCCAATGTGATTTAGGGTCTCTGAAAACCTCCCACAGGGTCAGCTATGAGTTGGCTCTGATTTGACAGTAACAAGTTCGCTGGTTGTTTTTACATTTGTATTTACTCATTTAATCCTGACAACAATGTCATAAGGCCATGACTACCCTCTCTCAAAGTTGAGGATTGGAAAGTTCACTTGCTTGGTGGAAATCTGTGGTTTTGAGCCAAGCTCTCGTGACCAAGCAGGCAGAAGGCAGTGTCCCAGATCACATCCACAGTGAGGTACAGCACACACCCTTACCTCTGCCATTCCCTCCACCACCTTCTGCTTGTCCACCTGCAAGATGCCATTCTTCGCTGTGCGAGATACTCGCAGCTCGTGCCAGTGGCTGAGAGAGAGGGGTTCTTCGCTCCTGTTGAGAGAAGGAAATCGAGCATCATTGGTTGCTGTCAGGTGCCATCAAGTCAAGTGCGAATCATAGCAACCCTGTGAACAGAGCTGAGCCCCGCCCTATCCTGTGCCATCCTCATCATCTCTGACACACGAGCAGCCATTGCTACAGTCACTGTTAATCCATCTGGTTGAGGGTCTTCCTTTTTCCCCCCATCCCTCTGCCCCACCAAGCATGATGTCCCTCTCCAAGGAATTGGTTGTATGGATAATATTCATCAGTCTTGATCAAACTAATGTCAGTCTCAGGTACTTCATGTGATCTGAATCACAATTACTCTTGCCTGGTCACAGCAAGAGGCCCCCAAACTCCCTGGCATTGAGTGGATTCTGACTTCCAGAAGCCACACATGGCAGAGTAAAACTGTTTTATTGGTTTTCCAAAGCTATTAATCAGCAAAGGAACAGACTGTCATTTTTTTTCTGCCTCAGAATAGGTGGGTTTGAACTACTGACTTTGGAGTTAGCAGCTCAGCTCTTTAACTATTGCACCATCAACACTTCTATCATATTAGGAAGATTGCATTTGTTATTTTGTATTTAACAAGGCTGATGTGTGTTATGTGTGGCCTAATGGACGTCACAAGCCTAACAAGCTCGAGGCATGGCACAGATGAGGACGGCACAAGAGAGAAGGGGGTTCAGATCTGTTGTTCTTAGGGTCACTATGAGTTGTACTTGGCTAAACCACACTTAGCAACAACAAGTCTGAAATGTAAGCATGATAAGTCCAAATTTCCTGTAAATATGAGAGTAAAATGTGATGCTACTTGCACAAAATGAAAGAAAAAAAAAAGTCAGACCAACTCCTAGGTGCTGCCTCATTGGATTTCCTGGGGCTGTAAATCATGTGGGAGGAGACTGCCCGTCTCTTCCTTACAGAGGCACCGGTGGATGTGAATCACCAGAGAGATGGGGCCTTTGAGTGAGCTATGCAGCTCCCTATGGACTATGCCACCGGAGCTACGCAAAAGCTTTGAAGAAGAAAACCACTACATGCGTGATGCTGTGACAAAACATATTCCTGGGTGTTGATGTTTGATGTCCGGCACCTCCTTTGAAATGCAGTTTTAAAAAATAAGACAGGCGGATAGTGCATTGTAAGGCTAGAGTGTTATATGATACAGCAAATATGACAAGACACGAATGGCAGCCAGCTTGTGTGCAGCAGTGATGAGGTCAGGCTGGCTTTCACTCTGTCACACCTTAGGTTGCTAGGAGTTGGATGTGGGTGAAAGAAAGACGATCTCCTCCTGTGAGATTTACTGCCTCTGAAAACCCACTGGAGTGTCTGTCTGACGCAACAGTCTACAACAACTGTTGGAAGTGACTCAGTGGCACCTAACAACAATAATGTTGGTAGGAAGTAGACAGAAAGTATAAACAGGCTTACTGTACAAATCTTTGCACATTCCTTCATGTCTGAAATGTCTTATAATAAAATGTTTTGGGGAAAAAGAAATTCTATATTTTCTGGTACTGTGATAGGGATAAAAACTCATCTGTTCTGGAAAACAATGTATTCAAATTTTGTAAATAAACTAGTATACTTAAAAGACCCCTCCATCATGAATGCACGTAGAAGCATGTGCCGTTCAAATGACATTAAGGGGCATTTTCCTCACTGCCTTGCCTGGATCATGTTGTATGCAGGGAGAGTGTCACCACGCATTTGCATTTTTAACAAGGTCTAATTTCTGGGCCGCACTAAACTTCCTGACTTATCTTCAGCAAAACCTCAGGAATACTGATGGGAACAATTATTGAAAGGTCACCACCCCCTCACTTGATTTTTGGCTTTAACAAATGCTTTTGTGACTTGTCCTTAGCAATTAGAATTTAATAACCTTGACTAAATCAATATGCAATAAAGAAGTGAGCAGCACGCTTTAAGTAGTCTGTCCTCCTGATAGGGGACCGCGTGGTGGCTGAGTTCTGGTCTACAGGGGTCATTCCTGATCAATACACTGCCTTCCTTTGCGCAGTCATATTGATTATGGCCATCAGGGGCTCGTTTCAACAGTCTTGATTTTGGGGAATCAGCTCCATAATGAATTGGAGCACTTTATCCTTTTCCTACAGTTAATACGATTCCACCATTGCCACAACTCCCTGTCGCTCGGGCTTTACCTGAATTTTCTGAAGTAAGAAGTTGTTAGAACAATTCTCAACATAAACAGCTTCCAAGGCGAGCTGGGAAGATGGAGTGGGCGCTGCTGTGAGCCTTATGTTTGAGGGGGATTGGCTGAGGGAATGAATGGCTGTTCTCTCCTTGGAAATCTAGAGAGTTTTCTTCATTTTAATCACACCCAACACTCAAGAGTGGTTCCTGGGTGGTGGAAAAGATTTACTTCTCTCTGGTAGTGCAGTCCATAGAGAGCTGCTCTGCTATTCTAAAGGTAGCACCTCCCTCACAGTTCAAATCCATAGCAGCTCTCACAGGGAAAGAAGGGCACTCCCCTCCCCTGCAATTTACAGCCTCCAAAACCTGCAGGAGGCTCAGCTATGTGTTGGTCCCTCCTCGACAGCGATGAGGTTTTTGGATTTTTTTTTCCAACTAGCCAGAAGGTTTGAAGCTTGAAATCATCTAAAAGTGCTCTGGAAGAAAGTCCTGGTGATTGGCTCTATAGATTACAGCCAAGAGAATCTTATGGAGCACTTCTTTGTGGTTCATGGGGTTGCCCTGAGTTGGGAATAACGTAACAGCACTATGTTGGTTTTGTTTTGGATAATCAAGAGTCTTTGGATGGTGCAAAGGGTTAATGTGCTTGGCTGCAAGTTCAAGTCTACCCAGAGCCCCTTGAGAGAAAAGTCTGGCTAGCTACCTTTGAACAGTCAGCCTTGAAAGTCTTAAGAACCTAGCTCTCCTCTGAGACACTAGCTGCCATAAGTTGGAATCTGTTCAGTGGCAACCAGAGGTGAGGGGAACAAAATCCCAAACACTCAAAAGCTGTTTTTCTAGGTGCCTTTCCCAACAGGCAGGCAGACAATAACTGCTCTGGTGGCCTAGTGGCAAGAAGCTGAGTTGCAATCCCTAAGGCACATGGTTTGAGGCCACCAGCCACTCCGTGGGAGAAGGATGGGCAATCTCCTCCTGTGAGATTAACTGCCTTTGAAAACCCGCTGGAGCATCAGCTATGGGTCAGTTACCACTCTACAGTACACAACACTAACAATGAAACATTTAGAACCACTTCTTGTCAAAACTAGGTACTTGGTTATGAAAACAGAGAAATGCTGGGCTTCTAAGAATTTTTGCAAAGATGACACCACAGCTGCAGCTGCCACTGGACATTAGGGTTGAGGAGACAGTATGTCAGGGAGACGAAGGATTTGCTCTTCTTAGCTCATTCTGATCACGGCTAACCAGGAAAAAGGCCTCTGAAAGTGCAACAATGAATGAATGAAAATATAACTTCCCTGTAAACGTTTGTTAAAATCATAATTAAAAAAAAGGAAATACAAGGGGAGATTTAGCATGTCTTCCCTTTTCAACAAGACATGAAGTTCTAAGTAAATTGCTCAGGTTGTTTTGCAAAACCATCTGCAAATTGAATTCATGAAGTAACCTTCATATTGGTCTTGAGATAGAGGTCAGGCATTTGCAGAGCTCCCATAAACCTCACCCCCAAACAAAACTCATTGTAATTAGTTGAAACAGCCAGTGGGTTTCTGAGGCTGCAGATTGCCCAGGGGATTGCCTCTCTTTCTTGAGAGGAGCTGGAGGTAGTTTTGAAGTGCCAGAGAAGTGTGACCTTTGGTTATAGCAGTGCAACTCTATGCAGACTAGGCCACCAGCTTAAAGTTACAAAATAAAGTTACAAAAATATTTGCCTGTCCCCCCCAAGGGGAAGATGTCACTAATGGATAGGATGGGAGTCATAGAACGGAAACAACCTTTCTAGGTATTGTTGAAACATAACAAAGTGACACGGAGGACAGATCCCTGATGGAGGACATCACTCTCGGTAAAGATAGCAGGTCAGTGAAAAGGAGGAAGATTCTCAATGAGATAGATTGTCACACTGGCTGTGGCAATGGGCCCAAACAGCAATTACTGAGCATGGATCAGGATCAGGCAATATTTCATTCTGTGCTCAGGATCCTTCTGCCATGTGAGCGTTGCTATGTGTTGAAGTAAACTTAGTGACATCTGAGTACTGAACATACCATGGAATGCCAAGAGAACAAACAGATCTGTCCTGGAGAGAGCAAAACCAAGCTTCTTACTGGAGGTAAGGACTGTGACACTCGGTCTGACCTACTTGGGCATGTTGTCAGGAGTGACCAATCCTTGGAGAAGGACATCATGCTTGGAAGGGTGGAGGGACAGTGCAGGAGAGGAAGACCCTGAATGAGATGGATTGGCATAGTAAGTAGGGTAACGGGGGGGGTGTCTCAGGATAGGGCAAGGTTCAGAGCTACTATGCAGAGGGTCATTGTGGGTCACAGGTGACTGGATGGCACAAGACAACAACTACAGTGATGCAGCAAACATTTCCCATCAGCCTTGAAAAATGAGCAACAATTAAGAGCAGTGGATAATAGTAACATCTTACCCACATTCTCTTTCACAAATGAGAGACTAGAAAAAGAAACCCAGGGGCTGGAGGGGCAGAACATAACCCAAACCCACTGGCCTCACGGTGATTCTGACTCATAGTGACCCTCCAGAGGGTTCCCGAGGCTCTAAGTCTTTATAGGAGGAGAGTGCCCATCTTTTCCCTGAAGAACGGCTAAAGGTTTTGAATCACTGAGCACAGTTTTCTTAAAAACATAATTCCCACCTCTATTAAAACAACACACACACACACACCCCAACTAAGTAATTTCCTGCTGCAGGGCACCACTGAGAATAAACATACAGTAAGTTTCAAATGAGAGGAACTGAACATCTGTTGGAACAAGCAGTGCATCAGTAGCCCTCCAGTTGGAAGGTTAAAACTGCTTTGGGGAGAAACATGATGAGAAAGGAGCTGGAGACACAAACAATTAAAAGAAACCTCTACTCCTACCAACCTCCGGGTTCAGGAAGTTCAGAAAGATACTGGCATGGAGGGAGAGAACAATCGATTCACTTTAGGAAATTAATAGCTCAAACTAGAAAAAAGTGGGGAAGTTTTAAAAGACTTGGAATCAGCTCTGAGGATATGAGCAGGTACTTTAAAAGCAGCTTCCTGAGTGATAGAAATGGTTAACACACTCACATGATGCTAGCCAGGCACCTGGGGGTTCTCATCTACCCAGGGACACCTCAGAAGAAAGCCTGATGCTCCACTTCTCCAAAACCAGCCACTGGTTGGCCATGTGGAGTCCAGTTCTTCGCCAGCACACCGGGGTCACCATGTGCCTGCTTGTCTGCAACTAGGCACAGTTTTTAAAGGTATATTTAAAAAAAAAAGAAAGCACAACACAGCTTTGTTAGCTACTGTGCTACTGAAAAGCACTGGTCCCCAGCCTTCTTTGTTGCTGGAGCCCACTGGTGCCAGGGACTGAGTCTGTGACCCTGTGAGACACTGTCAGGCTTTTGTATCTAGAAAGCAGTAAGAGAATGGAATAGCACTGGTGCTGTGGCTAAAAATGCAAAACTATTAACGAAAAGGCCAGAGGTCAAACCCACCAGGTATTCTGCAGGAGAAAGATGAGATACTCTGTCTCTGTAAAAACATACAACCTGGGGACCTATGGGGCAGTTCCACTCTGTCCTCCAGGGTTAGCATCATGAATTGATGTCCCCTTGATGGCAGGGGGCTTGGTTTTATCAAAGAAACAAGAAGCTCTGGTGACATTGCTATGTAGCTGTCATTATGTGGCCACTAACCAGAAGGTCACCAGTTGCTCCAAAGGAGAAAGATGGGCAATCTTCTCTTGTAAAGATTTACAGGCTTGGAAATCTGATGGAGGGTCACTATGAGTTGAAATCTACACAGTGGCAGGAAGGTTAAGTATCAAAGAAATAGAGTCCCTGATGTCACAAATGGTTAAGAGCTTTGAATCCACCCAGGCACTGCAGAAGACGCCTATAGAGTCACCATGAATCAGAATCTCTCAATGACAATAGGCTTTATCAAAGAAAACCATGCAAATGGAGAGTTAAAATTTAAATCAAGCCTATCTAGAAATAGTTTTATCCTCCACCAGGAATAAATCCCAACAGAACTGAGACACAAATGAAGATTTGTACACCTACATTGATAGCAGCATTATTCATAATAGCCAGAAAAAAATGGAAACAGCCCAAATGTCCATCAACAAATGAATAGATTGAGACGTTGTGGCACACACACACACACACACACACACACACACACACACCCTAGTGGCAAGCAGCTGCACTGCAATCCTGAAGGCCCACGGTTTGAGGTCACCAGCGCTTTGGGAGAAGAATGGAATCTCCTCCTGTGTGATTACCTGCCTCTGAAAACTCGCTAGAGGGTCGGCTATGGATTGGTTCTGACTCTACAGTACACAACAACAACAACAAGAAGATATATAACATGGGAGAGGCTAGAGAGTATTATGTTGAGTGAACTAAGCTAACTCAGTCTCATAACATCATATACCACATAAGGCCATTATTGTAAAAAGAGAAGGTTAATCAGAAAGATGTCAATAAAAGCCCAAAGAGGGAAGGGGAGGGGGCAGGGGAACCGAGGGTGAGAAAGAGGGGAAATCATGGGGTTGCAGAGTTTGGTGGGTAGAGGGTGAAGGAATCAGGATAGATCTAGTAGGCACCTGAAAAGACAGACTGATAGTCGGTATAGAACAATGGTGATTAATTTTATAAAACACAGTGTATGGGAATGATCTTATGAAACACAATGTATATGAAGGAATGTGTGAAACACAAAAGAAACAAAAAGTTTGAGATAAACCAGATAGCCTCTGGAATAAAACAAATAAACAATCCAAAATAATACTTTTATTCTCCAACTAAACACCATTGAGTTGGTTCCGACTCACGGCTGACCTAACATGTTTCCGAGACTGTAAATTTCAAAGGAAGAAGACTTCCCGTCTTCCTCTACAGAGTGAATGGGGGATTCACACCTTGGGAGATGCCAGCCACTGGCTTAGCAATGCAACTGGTTACAAACTATGTCATCAGAGTGGACTTATACATGTTGAGCATTCACCACGTGGATATTTGTGCAAGGTGCTAATTAATTGTTATTGATCAACCTGGCACAGCCTCAGGGGAAAATGAAGGCAGCTAAACCCTCACTGTCTACTCCATCTGAAGCAAACACACTATAATTTAAAACAGAGAATGTTGTTGTTATGTGCTGTCAAGTCACCTGCAACTCATAGCGACCCTATGCACAACAGCCCTGAACCCTGCTCTATCCTGTGCCAATCTTACTGTCTCTGACACACCTGCCCCCATTACTCCAGCCACTGAATGATGGATAATTCCATAAGCAAATAACACTCTGCAGGTAGGACATCACCACCTCATGGCAAGACTCAGAAAAGAAAAACATGCAAGGGAAACAGATAGAATGGGAGCTGTTGGGTAGCAATTTGGTCTTTTTTCTAAAGACTTGGCTTTTGATGTTTTTAGAAAGTGTCAGCCTCACCTGAGAACTCCAGTCCCGGAGCCACAGTCAAAGCGGAACTCCACGTGGCCATCTGCCATGATGATGGACAGGAAGTCTTTGCTGTCTGTGTCGTAGCTGTACAGGAGGACACCATCTCCTGAGTCTGGCCGAAATGTAATCTCAAACTCCATGAAGGACAGGTAATGCTGGGGCTCCAGTGGCCAGGGCGTTGCTGCGTAGGATCTCAGGGACTCTCGGAATTGAGGAACGGTCAGGGTGAAAGCTGAAGAAGTAAGGATATCATTAGATGGCCCTCTGTGGCTAGTCATGCATCCAGAACTAAGGGCCTTCCCTCCTGGGCACAGAACTAAGCGATGCTCCCCAGCTGCCTATGGTGCAGTAGATAAGTACCTGATTATGAACCAAATGGCTGGCAGTTCAAATCTATCCAGCCGCTCAGTGGAGAGAGGCTGGAGAGTTGTTTCTATAAAGATTACAGTGAAGAAAGCTGTAGTGGAGAGTTCTCTGTCACAGGGGGTCACTATGAGTTGGAATCAAGTAGATGACACCTAGTAATTATAGGTAGGTGGGTGATATGACGCAATCTGGCCAATGGGAGGAGGACGGAAGCACTCAGTGTTGTGATGAATTGTACTCGACTTGACAGTACCTAACAACAACAATCCGGGACAGGTCTCTAGGACTTCATGCAGCCCTCCATGCTTTCTCTCTCTTATCTCTGGCTGGATGCAGAACTTAGTGGAGGTCTCTGAGACCCTAGATGATGGTGGTATTTTTTGACAGCAGTTGCTTGAATCCCTGAATGAATCGGTGGAGTAGAGCCTGCTCCCTCTGCAGTCTGGCTTGTAGGGACCCATGATGTTGAGAAAGAATGAATCCTCGTTAGGGTCCTGAAATTTGAGACAGAACGTAACAACATTTGCTTACCCTGACTCAGATACTATTTTCTAGATGTGAGAGAAAAGTTTTGTTTTGTTTTGTTTTTTTTGAGAATAGTTTTTAAAGAATGATACTTCACTTCCAAATGTGAATCACCAGTGAAGGAATGTGACTAGCTTTGTAGTCAAATTCTTTGCTCTATTTTATTCTTTTTTTAATGTTGGGACTCTGGAAAAGTGAAAGCGTGCTCAACTCTGTGTGCTTTTTCAGGATCTTTCAAATTGTCAGTTCTTCCGCGTGTGTATGCGGGCATCATCAATATATGTGCGCTCTTGAGTGGTGGGAGGGAGCCTTGGCAGCCTGGTCCTTAGGAAGCTGTGCCCAAAGGTGGGCCTCTTTGGTGGTTTGAGTCCAGTGGAGGCTTCATGAGAGAAGGAAGGGAAGCCTCCAGTATGATTTACAGCCTCTGAAAACCTTCTGGTGAGTCAGCAAGGAGTCAGTTCTGACTTGATGGCGAAGTGATGGAGCAATTCAGTAGAATCATTCAAAGATGAAGAAAAAGATCACTTTTTAATTTTTTTTTTAATCAGAGGGTAAAAAGTATCACTTTCAACTCATCACTTTGTTAGTACTTCTCCTGGTCACTAAATACCTGTTAATGTTCTTGAAATTATTGTTTTTAAATTCAAATGACAACTTACTGCTGTCTAGTGGGTTCTTACTTATGGCAACCCTCCACTGCATTCCCAGTGCTGTAAATACTGGTGAGAAGAGATTGTCCATCGGTCTCCTGAGGTGCTGCTGATGGATTCAAACTGCCAGAGGCTTTTGGGGATCAGTGCAATGTGCTTTGCACTACAACACCAAGTTCCCTGATTTCACTTGAGTTGTTGTAATTTGTTGCAACCTTGACATGATCTTTGTGTAACTCAACTCAATTCATTGCCATTGAGCTGGGGGGGAAAAATCATAGCTGATCTGCTAACAAGTTTTCAGAGGTTATAAGTTGCACAGGAGGAGAGTGTTGATTTCTCTCTCTCTAAAGGAACAATTTGTGGATTTGACCTGCCCTGTTTTTGAGTTGGTGGTGCAATTCCTTGCCCACTAAGGCTACTAATCAGAGCTTAGTGCTGATTAATTGGGATTAACCAAATTTCTCCTGTCAATTTTGTAAAAACCGGGTGGAAAGGACTACATTTGTATAGCTTACCAATCTTTTCTTCAAATCTTAGTATCAGGAGCTTTGTTGTTGTTAGGTGCTGTCAAGTGGATTGTGACTCATAGCAACCCTATGAACAAAAGATCCAAACCCTGTTCTATCCTGTGCTATCCTCATACTTCTTGACACAAGAGCTCATTACAGCAGTCACCACATCACCTCACCTGGTCGAAGGTCTTCCTCTCCATTGCTGGCCCTCCCCCCTTCCCATAATCATGTCCTTCTCCAAGGAATAGCCCCTGCTAGAAACACGTCCAAATTATGTGAGGCAAATACTCATCATGCTTGCCTCCAAAGTGCACTCTGGTTGCACCTTCTGTAAGAAATATCTGTTCATTCCCTTGGCTGTCCATGGAAATGTTCAGTGCTCTTCTCCAATGCCACAGCTCAAAGGCATCAATTCTTCTTCAGTCATCCTCATTCAATATCCAGCTTTCAGATGCATTGCAAGTGATTGGAAAGACCATGGCCTGAATCAAACACATCTTAGTCCTAAAACTGACATCATTACTCCTCAATAATTTGGGGAGGTCCTCAACTGCAGATTTTCCCAGCACAATACATCTCCTTATTTCCTGACTGTGGTACTAATGGTGTTCACTGTGGATCCAAGCAAGATGAAGTTGATGACAGCTCCAATCTTTTCTCCATCCATTATGATATTGTTAACTGGTCCATTGGTTAAAATCTTTGTTTTCTTGACTTTGAGATGAAATTCATACTGCAGCCTGTGTTACTTGATCTTCTGCAAGAAGTGTGTCAAGTCCTCCTCACTTTCAGCAAGTAAGGTTGTGTAATCTGCAGAATGCATACTTATAGCTCCTAGTTACTCATAATAACCAGGAATTTTAATTATGTCTTAATTCAGTCTCACACAGACTCCATAAGTTAATTCTGAAAGCTATTTGAAGGTCAAGAAGACCTCTTCCTCACTGAGCCCAAGTGAATCTTCCAACAAACAAACAAACAAACAAACAAACAAATTCATTCTTGGTTCAGTGCTTGCAGATATGGAAAACCTACAACTTGGTAAAAAAGATTCTTCCATCCCTTCCAACAAAGTGACACTGATCCTGTTAAAATGTAAGGGGCTATCCCCAAAACACACTCACAAAATGGTACATCAACTGTGAATTATCACAAAGACATCTTTCTCACCATCTTCACAGTGGCGACCTTTGAACCCCAGGGGACAGAGGCAGATGTAGGAGTCAGCTTTGGTTGCTGTGCAAGTGCCACCATTGATGCATAAGGCCTCGTCACAGATGCCGCTGCTGCATTCCCCTAAACACAGAGCAAGAATTACAAAGTGAGTCACCACAGATGCCATGCAAGACTATAGAACTGATGTCTCTACCAGCTCATGACTGAACAAATACAGTTTACTTCCCATTTGACTTGCACCCATGCACAGCTGCAAACCAGCTTTCAGGATAAGTGGGATTTCTTTCATTTCCACTTGATTTCCTTTATGAAGAGCCATAGAAACTTTAAAACATGGTGAATGCAATATATCAAATCACCAATAGGTGGGTAGCTGCATGACCACAAATGTGTCCTCTCTGCTTTAACAAATCTCTTTTATTCTCATAAGAGTGTATTTCAATCTCTCCACTGTAACTGGAATGCTTACACTAAAAATGATAGGATTTATGCCACCTTGCCTTGTTGGTTGGAAGGAGTTAAGCTGCCATGTCAAAGTTTACTGGTGGCCTAGGTCATTGACTCCTCTGACTGGGCTCCATAACCTCTAATTTTACCAATACAGTTCTAACAGACATGAGAATGCTCTGATGAGATCCATGTCACATTAGTTAGCTCTATTCACCAGACATCAAAGAACCTGTGAGGGATATACAAGGTAATTGTTGTGTATTACTCCTAAAATGAAGTGGGCTTTTCTTGAGTTGTTTCTCACATGCTCTTTTTTTTTTAGGTAATTAGTGACTTTATTATATTGAAAAATAACAAGTGATGAATGCCCTACAGGATTTTATCTTAAGAACAAATAAAGAAATGTTGCTTGCTCTCTCTTTTTTAACATCTTAAAAGCATCTACCATATCCTTTGTTTCTTGTCTATTTCTACAACTACCATTCCACCCTGGTCTAAGCATTTGCTACTCCATTTCAATAGCCTCCAAGTTCTGAATTTTTTAAACACTACAACACTTGATTGTGTTCGTGCAAAACCTGTACTTGTACCAGTTTCATATGCTCATTTGGTCTTCCTTTTCTCTCATTGTTATGGTTACGGGGTGCCACAAATTCAATCACGACTTATAATAGCAACTCTATAAACAACAAATCAGATCCTTGACCTATCCTGCCCTATTCTCATTATTTGGCCAAGTGACCAACTCGGGAGAGGATATGAGGACAACATATAGCATACAATTCCTTTATGTTAATTTCTTTGTTTGTAGTTCCATTAGTTTCATCTTCTATAGCAGCAGGTCAGAAATAGGGAAGCAATTAGAGGCAAATTTGGGAGGCTTTGATGTGGTAGAAGGATCCCTGGTGTGGTACATGTTGGCCCACTAACTAACGTGGTTCTAAGATATTCTGAGAAAAATGGGCAGCCTCTTCCTAAAAAGATTTACAGCCTCAGAAACCAGAGGAAGGGTCACCACAAGTCAGACATGAATGGATGGCAGTGAGTTCCATGTGGTAGATGCAATGATTAGGACAGTCTGTGAAGCCGGAATGGCAATTGGTTTTATTCTGTGGATGTTGTTGATGGGGACTGTTCCCCTTTGTGAAGTTAATAGAGGTGGGACTTGGCCCTCTCCATGCACTCTTTGTACAGGTTGCCACTTACCCACATCGGCTCCACTGAGCACTTTCCCCAACGGCCAAGGCCTCATGTCAATCCTCTTCCCATTAACAGTGAGTGATTGGACACAGCCTTGAAAGCCTCGGTTTATTCCTGTTGCTCTGACCAGCCAGTAAGCACTGGGAGCGCCACCAAGATAGAGAGGCGTCCGGAAGGTAATTTTACTGTACTGACCCTTTAAGAAAGAGAAAAGAATGGTATCTCACTAAAGACAACCAAAACAACATACATTAAATTTTGACAAGTGTTATATATGGTTACAATGTGAGCAATTAGCACTAACATTTTCTGTCCATCTATATTTTTCAGTCAGACAGTGTCCTATTGGAAAATCAATGCACAGTTGCCATGGGCAGCCCAGTAAACTCCCAAAAGGGCTACATTTCCTGCAGGGATGATTTTGGAACATCTAGAAGGGAAAGGAGGGATGTCGGAGCCAAGATCAACCCAACAGGCAGTGTACCATGCTAGGCATCCAACATAAACTCTTTCCAGCCCTGGAAAGGATTGAATATATTGGCCTGGCCATGGATGGAGCCTAAACTTTGAAAACATGATCCAGATCCAAGTCATGATATTTTCAATTGCTTCCTGTGCATCTCAGTGTTGGACAATGAATAAGGAAGACAGAGATGAGTTGATGCCTTTGGACTGTAGTATTGATAAAGAGTACTGAATGTCTCATGGATGGCCAAAAGAACAAACAAATCGTGCTGGATGAAGTCCAGCCGGGATGTGCCTTTGAGGAAAGGATGGTAAAACTTAGTCTCACATACTTTGGGCACATTATCAGGAGAAGTCAGTCTTTGGAAAAAGACATGAATAATCTGTATTGAATGCTGTCTTTGATCTTTTTCAGTAAGAGATTCACAGTCTCTTCACTTTCAGCCACGATTTACTAATTACAATAATAACATTAATAATAATGCTCAGTTACAATAACTACTAATAATATTAACCTTTGATTAATTATGTGTGTCCAAACTAAAAGTTACCTTACCATTATCCCAGCTGATTGAAACTATCGAAAACTTCTCTTACTTGTACCCATAATCAATTCACTTCATACCAGCAGTCAGAAGATCAGAAGTTTTATACACTGGGAAAGTCTGCAGTCAGGGACCTCACCAAACTAATGAGGAGCAATAACATTAGTTTGAGGTCTAAGGTGCACCTGATTCAGGCCATGGTCTTTTCAGTCACTTGGTATGTTGTCGAGTGCTGGACAGTGAATTAGGTTGACAGAAGAGTTAATGCCTTTTAACTGTGGTATTAGGGTACTGAATATCCCATGGGCTGTCAAAAGAACAAATAGATGTATGTATCTTGGAAAAGGTAGTCAGAGTGCTCCTTGGAGGCAATGATAATGAAGCTCTGTTTCACATACTTTGGGCATGTTGCTAGGAAAGACTATTCACTGAAAAAGGAATATTCATACTTAGGAAGGTGGAGGGATGGTGAAGGAGAGAAAGACCTCCAATCAGATGGACTGACAGTGACCACAGCAATGGTTTCAAGTGTGCCAGAGATTGTGAGGTTGATATAGGATAGGACAGGGTTTTCAGATCGGTTGTTAACCAAGTTACTAAGAGTTGTACTTGAGTCTATGGCACTTAACAACAACAATAAATTATCCAGGTCATCTTTCTAAAATGGGTAGCAAGGAATATTGTAAGGGAAGATGGGATTTCCAAATAGATCATGCTGAAAAAGAATGAGACACAGAGTGAGATATTCACTCAAATGTACATTTTTTTTAAGCATTATTACAGTTGTGGGAAATTTCTAATCTTAGACCAAACCACAATCTGGATTACAGGAAATCTTAGACCAAACTACAACCTAGATTACAGGCTTTAAGATTCTAAAAGATAGGGCTGAACAAATAATCAAAATTCAAACCTACCACTCTTTAGTCAATTTTGACCATGGCAATCCTGTGGGTCAGAGAAGAAATGCTATAGTGTTTCTAAGGATGTATGGACGCAGATGGCCATGTTACCATGGCCAGTTAAGTGAGTTCTTTACCACTGTGCTACCACCAAGGCTCCTGGTTGAATATTTAAACAGCAAACTTACTGCGATTGAGTTAGTTCCAAATCCTAACAACCCTCTATTGTTTTTCAGGGGTTTTAAATCCCAACGGAGGGCAACCCAACTCTGCATCATTTTCCTGTGGAGCCACTGGTGGATTTGAATCATCCAAGATTTATCGGTTGGCAGCATTAATGGTTGGCAGCAAAATATTCAAGAAATGATGCTTCCCCAGGACTTAGTGGTTGAACATTAATAATAAATAAAACATTCAAAGTATTGTTGTTGAGGTGGAACGAACTCATAGCTGATCTCCCATCAGTTTTTTGGAGGCTGTAAATGGCACAAGGTGTCTGTCAGGGATGTATTCTCTCTCCATACCTTTTCAATCTGTATGCAGAACAGATCATCCAAGAGGTTGGGCTGTATGAGAAGGAATGTGGCATCATAATTTGAGGAAGATTCATCAACAACCTGCGTTATGCAGATGACCCTGCTTCCTGAAACTGAGGAGGACCTGAAGCGCTTGCTGCAGAAAGTCAAGAACTGCAGCCTTCAATATAGATTGAAGTTCAACATCAAGAAAACAAAGATTCTGATTCAATCACTTAACAAAATAGGATTGGAGAGGATGTTCTTCAGCACAGTAAAAAGTATATATGCAAGCCCGAGAGCCAACATTGTTCTCAATGGAGAGAGATTAAAGCATTGCCTTTGAAAACAGGAACTAGGCAAAGATGCTATCACCTCTCCTATAGCAATAAGACAAGAGAAGGAAATAAGAGGTACCAAAATTGGCAGTGAGGAGGAAAAATTATCTCTCTCTGCAGATGATGTGACAGTCAGTATACTTAGAAAACCCTAAAGACTCAGCAAGAAAACTATTGGACATAGTTGACCAATTCAGCAAAGTGGCAGGATACAAGATCAACAAACAAAAAACAAGTGGATTTCTCTACAGTGACAAAGAGAATACAGAGCTGGAGCTAAGAAAAACAATATCCTTCACAATAATTACAAAATGAAATACTTGGGAGTAAATCTAACCAGAAGCACAAAGGATCTACTCAAAGAAAATTACAAAGCATTATTACAAGAAACAAAAAGAGACCTGGAGAAATGGAAGAATATACCTTGCTCATGTATAGGAAGACTCAATATTGCGAAAATGACAATACTAACAAAGGCAATTTATACCTTCAATGCAATCCCAATACAAATACCAATTACATTCTTCACTGAGATGGAAAAGGCAAACTCCAATTTCATCTGGAATGAAAAGAAGCCCCAAATAAGCAAACCACTCCATAAAATGAGAAACAATGTAGGAGGCATTTCACTCTCTGATTTCAAATCGTACTACATTGCCATGGTGTTCAAGACAGCATGACACTGATACAATGACAGACACATAAATCAATGGAATAAAATTGAGAATCAAGAAATCAGCCCATCTACCTATGGATTACTGATTTTTGACAAGGGGATAAAATCAGTTAAGTGGCAAAACAACAGTCTTTTTAACAAATGGTGTTGCCAAAATTGGAAAACTATCTATAAAAAACTCAAGCAAGATCCATATCTCATTCTGTACACAAAACCAACTCAAAGTGTATCAAGGACCTAAGACTAAAACCAAGAACTATAAACTTCATTAGCGAAAAGCTTGGGAGAACTCTGGAAGCCCTGATCCACAATATGAACAGTCTTCCAAGCATCCTGAAAAAAATCTACAGCCAGAAGAGGATAAAATAGAGGAATGGGACCTTCCAAGAATCAAATCCCTATGCACATCCAAAAACTTCTCCAACAGGGTAAAAAGGGAAGCCACAGACTGGGGAAAATATTTGGTAATGACATATCCGGTAAGGGACTTAGATCTAGAATTTATAAAATACTCGAGCACCACAACAAGATAAAGGCAAACAACCCAACTGAAAAATAGGCACAAGATATGAACAGATACTTCACCCAAGAAGACATTCAAATGGTGAAAAAACACATGAAGAAATGTTCAAAATCCCTAGCTCTAAGAGAGATGCAAATCAAAACAACTATGAGATATCATCACACCCCAGTCAGAATAGCAAAATTAAACAAATGTCCTTGCTATTTAGTACTTTCGAGAGGACCTCGACAATAGAATTTCCCAATGCAACATGTTTGGATTTTTTTTTTAAATTTTTATTTCTTGACTGCTGCTACCATGGGTGTTTTTGTGAATCCAGCTAAAATGAAATAGTGGATGATTCCAACCTTTTTTCCATTTATTATGATGCTGCCTATTGGTGCTGTGGTGAAGACTTTGGTTTTCTTCATCTTGAGATGTAAATCATACTAAAGGCTGTCTTTTTTTCCTTCTTCAATAAGTGCTACACATCCTCCTCACTTTCAACAAGCAAGGTTGTGTTAGCTGCACAACACAAGTTGTTGATAAATCTTCCCCCTATCCTTACGCCACATTCTTTTTCATATAGTCCAGCTTCTTGAGAGATTTGCTCAGACCACAGATGGAATACGTACAGAGAACTGATACAACATTAATGCACACTTTCCTAATTTTATATAATGCACTGTTTCCTTGTTCTGTTTGAGCAAGAGTGCTGTTGTTGTCTGCCATAACGTTGGAACTGACCCATAGTGGACCCTAAAGCAGGTTTTCAGAGGTAATAAATTTCAGAGGAAAATGCCCATCCTTCTTCCTTAGAACAGAGGGTGGATTCAAAGGTGGGGCATAATAAAGGCACTGCTTACTTGTTCCTTTGGGAGGCTCTTCATAGCATTTCAGACTTCGCTTTACTCTGCAACAAGGCTAATGTGCATTCAACAGCCACCAGTGATTTTTCTCCCCCATCCCTAAGTTTATCTTTGGGTTCCTGAAGCCCGTCTTATCTGCCTATGAAATTGCCTGGGAATTTGCTTCCCCCCAGGGAACTTTCATAGATGGGTGCAGAGATATGAAAGCTCTATTTCTTTTGCACTGGAAGAAGTCATAACTTGGGAGAGACTGGAGAACATTATACTGAATGAACTAACTCAGTCTCTTAAGGACAAATATTGCATAAGACCATTATTGTAAAAATAGAAGGATAACTAGTAAACCATGTATGGTTTACCCAAACGGGGAAGTGGTGGGAGCAGAGGGGTGTGGATAGGTAGGGGCAAAACCATAGGGTTGCACAATTTGGTGGGTGGAGGGAGGGAAGGGAATGGAAAAGATCCAGCAGGGACTTGAAAAGACAGGGTAATGATGGGCAAGGTTCAGTGGTGATTAATTTTATAAAACATAATCATGGGAATGATTGTATGAAACAAGATAAATGAAGATTTATGCGATACACAATGAATACAACTCTGTAGACAAACCAATATAAAAAATTTAAAACAAATAAACAAAAGTGAGAATTGATTATTCTACTCTAGAATTCTAGAGCACCCACTGGGATCAGGCTGAAGCCATCGTTTGCAGAACTCTGCCTGACCCTTGCTGGCTTCGTCCTCTTCTCTGACTTTGGTCACTGGGAGCACTTTCTCAGCACATTGTTCACAGGACTCCTCATCTCAATTTCTGTTTCTGGATTTAACACAAAATCACTGCCTCCCAAGGCAATTTCTTAAACATTCCACATCTGTGGTCCTATTGATCAAATGGCAATAATATAGAGGCAAATTTCATCTTGAATTCAAATAAAATTAAATGCCTCATGCAACTAATTCTTACATTCATTAATATTACAGACCCTTGAGATAGGACAAAAAACCTTACACATATAATCCAAACTTCCATTAGCTGCTGGATCTCTTCTATACTCTACCAAAAGGTTCAGCTATGTTGCTTTTGAAAATCCCTAAGGAGAGGGAACTGTCTGCTGAGATAGCCTGGTGTACCTCGTACAGCTTTGTACAATTAGATGGAGAGAAAACTTAAGCTTTCTCCAAGTCATCTCCAGCCTTGGGGGCCTATGCACTGAGTCCTTCTTCCCTAAGACGCTGCCTTTGATTCTACGATGAAAAGCCACCATGCATCTTTCATCTTCCCTTCTCCAAACTCAACAACTCTCCTTCAATCAATCATCTCTGGGACTTCAAGGCCTCTTCCTGTTTGAGTGCCTGCCTTTGAACACGTTCCAGTTTGTCTGTGGGGCTCTTAGAGTGTGTTGCCAGATCCGAATTCAGTCCTCTTGGAGGATAAGTTAACCTAGAACAGTAAAGATTGCCACCTCCCCACAGATATTATGCCCCGATCAGCATACTGTGCTTCTACCAGGAATCCATATCATTGTTAAGTGCTTTTCAGTGGACTATAACTCACAGTGACCGTATGCACAACAGATCAAAAGCCTTGCCCAAACCTGAATCATCTTCACAATCTCTACTGTGGTTAAGCCCATAGTTACACAGTGACTCATAACCACAGAGTTAATGGCTCATCTCATTATGGGTCTTCCTCTCTTTCAGAGACTCTCATCTTTTTCTGCATGGTGTTTTTTTCCAAGGACTGACCCCTCCTGATAATATGTTCAAAGCACATCAGGCCATGCCTCATCATGCTTGCTTCTATAGAGCACCCTGGTTGCACTTTCCTCCAAAACAGATTTGTTTATTTGGTAGTCCATTGGATATTCAGTTCTCTTCACCCATGCCACAACTTAATAACATTAATTCTTCTTTAATCGTTTAACTTTCAGATACATATCAAGCAACTGAAAAGACCTTGACTTCAGTCAGGTGCACATTAACTTTTAAACTGACATCTTTGCTCGTCAGCATTTTGGAAAGGTTCTTGACAGCAGATTTTCCCAATGTGATACATCTTTTGATTGTATTAAAATCATTGGTCACTGGACCAATAGGCAGCATCATGACAGATGGAGAATAGATTGAGATTGTCAATGACTTTATCTTACTTGGATCCACAGTAAATAAACTTGGTACCAGCAGTTAGGAGATTATGAGATGCAATGGGAAGTCTGCAGTCAGGGACCTCACCAAATTATTGAGAAGCAACGATATTACTTCGAGGACTAAGGTGCACCTGATTAATACCATGGTCTTTTAAATATCACTTGCTATGTATCCAAGAGCTGGACAATGAATAAGGATGACAAAGGAAAAATTGATGCCTTTGGGTTGTGATGTGGGAGGAGAGTACTGAATAAAAGAACAAACAGTTATGTCTTGGAGAAGGTGAAACCAGTTTACCCCTTGGAAGCATGGATGGCAAAGCTTTGTCTCACATATTTTGGGGCATGTTGGCTAGGAGGGGTTATTCCTTGGAGAGAGACATCATGCTTAGAACAGCAAAGGAAAGGAAGACTCTCAATCAGGTGGATTGACATAGTGACTGCAGAAATGGGTTTGAGTGTATCAGAGATTGTGAGGAAGGCACGGGACAGGACAGGGGTCAGACCTACTGTTTATAGTGCAGCAGTAAATAATACTTGATGACATCTAATAGCAATCATAATAATACCTATTTTGATTTCTAGCCTACTGCTACCATGGGTGTTGACTATGGAGCCAAGTGAAATAAAATCATTGACAACTTCAATCTTATCTCCTTCGTTTATGGTGTTGCCTACTGGTGAGGATTTTCATTTTCTTTGGGTTGGCAGTGCAACTCCTTAGCCACTAGGCCACCAGAGCTCACTCCCTCCGGATTTTCACTTTCCTAACTTTGAGCTCTAATCCTCAATATTTAAGAAACAAGTGATGCCTTTGAGGGGAAGACTCTCAACCAGGTGGATTGACACGGTGATTACTGCAATGGGCTCTTGTGTATCAGAAGGTGTGAGGAGGGCACAGGATAGGACAGGGTTCAGATCTGTGTTCATAGGGTCGCTATGGGTCATGCTCAACCAACAACAACCACAACAATTAATTCAGTCAACAAGTTCTTTGGTATGTTGCTACCCCATTGTTCCCTTTGCTAAATTTTATTCGCTTCCTTGTTTTTAAATCATAATTTATATTCACATGTGTTGTTTCCCTTCTCTCTTCTCCATCACATTATTATTTGGGCCCCAAAGTTGGGGTTTCCTTTTTCGCATTAAAATTTATATTAGGATATTAGACCTAGTGTTCTGGTCCACATATACCTGTAGACTCCCTTGGTCCTATTTCCTTCTTCCCCAGCCATATAGAGATATGTACACTTCCTTAACTGTCATTCATTAGATTTGAATTCATGTTGCTTTTGAATCACTGGGGGTTGAAATTAAGGAGATTTTAGTCTTTTTTTTCTTGGGGGGAGCGGGTAAAAAAAGTGACAAGACAGTATGGCTCTTTCTATTACATGTGCTGCCGGCAAAGAGTGGTGAAGGACACAGGCAGGGAGGAAACTACGCACATCCTCACAAAGGCCATCTCGCTACATTTTTCCTCAGAGAATACAGACACCTGCCTGGGTATAATTGCAGGCTCTGTTCCTTGGCAGTTGCTAATCCAAACTGTTTATTCCAAACACAGCCCCCAAATTGCCTAGAGCACAACAAATATGTGCATGTCTAGGTGATTTGCTGAGGAGCCCCACCGTTCAATTGTTCTGGCACTTCCTACAATCACTTCCTTGCTCACTCCCAAAATAAAAAAGGTGGTGGGATGAAGCCTTTCTGAATACAGAATCTTGCAGATGGATTTTCTAAAGCCATTGGGTTGCAACATCCCTGCCTTCCAAGCACGCTTTGCCTTTGAAGGTGATAATGGAAGTGGAAAGAGTATTATTTCAGTTACTCCCTAAAAGGGTAGTGCCATGGAAGAAAGGTCTGGTGATCTACTTCCATAAAGACCAAGGTCAGGACAGCTCTACGGAGCTCTGTAACTCATGAAGTTGTACTGAGTCAAGACCTAACTTGGTGACGGGGGCGTTTTTCTTTCTTCTGTTGTGGACCTTCTTCCTCCTTCAATCTCTGATGTTCTTATGGAATGAGAATACATGGTTAGGCTCCAGCACTTCTGAAGGCTCCCAGGCACTCCCAAGTAAAATGCTTCCCCTGGGTACATGTGGACAGATGTCTGACTCACAAGTCCACCCGGCGTGCCATGCCATAGTAGGAGCAGGTTTTACCCTGAAGAAGGGGCTTCATCAAGCCCATGCAGAGCTTGAGTCCTGTGATTCTGCCTCAGTTCTCTGCAGGGGAGCACCCTCGGGATGCTCTGGTGGGTGCTGTGAGGTATGGGCCAGGTGCGAGGATTCAGCACTCACCTGGGACCGGCCTGTCACTGGAGTCCTGTTGTTCAGCTGCAGGAGTCCATTCAGCCCATCTCGGTAGAGTGTGACCGTGTGCCAGGCCCCCAGCTTGATCTTTGTCTCACTTGTGAGGATGGCCACACCAGTCCCACAGTTGAACCTGCGGGGGACAAAAAGGGAAGGGATAATCTTGGGCCAATCAGCTCATTAGCCTCTCAGAGTTCAAGTTAAAGGACTAATATGCCGAGCTGTCTGCTCTGACACACGGTGGATTCAGAGCTTCCTTCCCTGACAGGACCTCCCACTAGCTTGGGTTTTCTTTATTTAACCAGCTTAGAAAGTGCTAGCAACTGTGGCCCTCGTCTCCTCTCCAGAGACAGTTTGATGCGGCGAATTAGACAGAGTCATGCTGCTTTCAGCCATTTCTCTGGAGACTTCTCCCAACTCCCAAGCTGCAGGCTGAACAATGTCCTTTCTCTAATTACGGTCAGCTAGTAGCCCTTCAATCTGTGCTGAGCTGGACCAAGTGTGGTCCCCACAGGTGGGTCCACTTGGGGCAAGATATGGGCAGAGGACAAGTAGGCTCAGGTGGTGGTGTTTTCCTCTGGACAGCTGGAGGCATGCAGAGCACCATGCCTGACATGAACTTCAACCCTTCCTACTCACCTTTTAGACTTCTCCACGCTGTCTTCACAAAACACTTGCAGTCTGCTCCCAGAAAGATGATAACCTAGACAGTCCTCAGGATAGTTCTACTCTACCACACAGGATCACTATGAACCTGGAATCAGCAGCACCTAACATGCCCAAAGTATGTGAGATAGAGTGTCACCACCCTTGCTTCTAGGGAGCATGCTGGTCTCACTTCCAGAGCTCCCTTGACTGGTTGTCCTTAAAGAGGAGAAATACACTCCAGTCTTGGTGACCCAATGGTTAAGTGCGTGACTGCTAAGTGAAAGGCTGATGGTTCAAGCTCTCCCACCAACTCAGTGGGCGAAAGATCTAGTGAGTCTAGAAAGACTGCCATGTGGGGTCTCAGTACACCAGAAACACTTTGATGGACCCCAGCAACAACAACAACAACAACAACATGCTTCCATGAAGGTATTTAAAATACCTCTGTGCAACACTGGTCACAGAAAATCACACATAAGCTAATAATAGCTTCCAAAATTGTGTTCTGAGAGAAAGGATCAAGGCACAGAAGATAAGCTAAACCAGGTACTAAATTGAGCCTCCATAAACACTTCCCTGCTCCCTACGTCTTGCAGTCATATTTACCAAGCAGAAGATCCTGGTTCTCTTCCACTATATCCACTAAAACTCCAGGAGAGAAGAGACATCTCTTTTGCTCAATACTATACGCCCAGATGCCCAGCTCCTTGAACAGTTTCTATTATACTATGTTGTTGTGTACCATTGAGTCGGAACCAACCCATAGCTGACTGTCTGCTGGGTTTTCAGAGGCATTTAATCACATGTGAGGAGACTGCCCATCGTTCTCTCACGAAGCAGATAGTTGGTGGACTTGAGCCGCATGCCTTCAGGATTGCAGTGCAGCCTCTTGCCACTAGGCCACCAGAGCTCCCATATTATAGAGGATGTGCAATCTCCTACCAAGTGGTTAACTGCCTCTGAAAACCCACTGGAGGGTCAGATATGGGTCAGTGCCAGCTCGATGGCACACAACAATAGCAATAATAATGCTAAGATACATCAGAATATTTAATATATCTACCAATATGAATATTACACACACACACACACACACACACATTATACTCTATAGGCTCAACTAAAAAACAAACAAACACAAAAAACGCTGCTGAATAAATACATGGTTTGGATCAGCCACCACCAAGTTAAGATGATATCAACTCATTATAACCCCATGTGTGCAGAGCGGAACTGCTCCACAAGGTTTTTGTGGCTGTGAGCTTTCAGAAATGGGTCACTAGGCCTCTTTACCCTTGATACTTTAAAAATACTAACACTAATACTAATACTAAAAAATAATAATGGAGATGCAATTTCAAGGATTTAGACTGCCAGTCTGGGTTCGTAGGCCAGCCACTAAGCTGTTTATGTCCCTGAGGTCTCCTTAACACATGGATACAAGATTCCAGATGTCAACTGTTTACTACATACTGCTGCTCTAAATATTTAGTAAATGGGTCACCATCATTCCATGGCTTGGCTGTCCCATGAATTAAAGATGAGGCGTTCTGTTATCTATAGGTTTACAGTCTTGGGAACTCACAGGAACTTTAATCTATTTTACAGACCTCTCAGCTTAATGGTAAGGAGCTGTGCTGCCAACCCAAAGGCAGGTGGTTCAAAGCCATGAGCTGCTCCACTCTCATGAGCTTAACTGCTAGTTAAAACCTGCTAGTGGGTCAGCTATGTGTTAGCTCCTACTTGATAATAAATAACAACAACTGCAGGAGCAGCATCCACTTCCTAAACAACATGCCTCTGGAAACTATAAACTTTGATAAATGACTATAGTTATAGAAAGGCTGCAAGCCTTTTGTTCATAGAGTCACTATATGTCATGCTCAACTTGACAGCAATCAACAACACAACAACTATCCTATATGGTCACTGAGATGTGGAATTAACTCAACCTAATGTTGTTACAACCAGGCTGCTCCTTGGAGTCAAGGATTCTGAAGCTTCATCTGACATATTTTGGACATGTTGCAATGAGGGACCAGTCCTTGGAGAGGGACTCCAGGCTTGGGAGGGTGGAGGGACAGCGCTGGAGAGAAAATCCCTCTATGAGATGGATTGGTTCAGTGACTAGGGTAATGGGGGTATGTGTTTTGGAGACAATAAGGTTGGCACAGGATAGAGGAGGGTTTAGGGCTGTTGTACATAAGGTCACCAAGAGTCACAAACAACTGGTTGGCACATAACAACAACGTGGTTGTTAGGTGCTGTGAAGTTGGCCTATGTGTGTACAGATGTGCTCGTGACTAAGTGTACAATGGAAACACTGCCTGATTCTGCACCATCTTTCCACTCACTACTGTGCTTATGCAAGCTTTTGAAGGCACTGCTGTGATTATAAAAATAACAACTCATGACGAGGATGAAGCCATCGTGGGCTTGGCAGATGTTACCTGAACTGGACTGTGCGCCGGATGACAGCCAGTGACATGAAATCCCCACGTCCGTGTTCACTTTCCCCGCAGTACAGCAGTAAGCCGTCCTCAGCCTCCGCCTGTTATCACACAGACAAGATCCCAGTCAACCAGCAGCCCCTCCCGGTCTGCAAAGCGCCATCTGGAGATGCTCAATATGAGAAATGTGAGCACTCTCCCTCCACTGTCACATTAAAAAAGGGGCGAGAGCCTGGATGCCCACCATTCACAGGGACCCAGGTCTGGCTGATTTCCAGCAATGGAAGCAGTGTGTGAGGTGTGGTAGGGCAGGGAGGTAAAGGAGCCCCCACATATGACCTTTAAGTTCTTTAAGTGACTTTGTGGAACAACCTATCGAGCTCCTGGAAATCTATATGTGCAGACCACAGTCATAGAGAGGACAGGACTCAGGCCCAGAAGACTCTTCCCAAAGAGCATTCCCCCCTCCTACTTAGTCTTGTTTACATCCTTTTCTCAGAAGGCACGTCAGTTTGTTTCTTTCTATCAGGAGAACAAGACAGTACAGAGACTAGCTCATGGGCTGGCATGGTATTCATCCAAGCTTGCTCTCCTAGAGCTGGTGGCCTAGGACCCCTTGAAGACAAGTCATCTCTTGGACACTCAACCCTCTGACCTCAAATTGGACTTGTTTGCAGATTTACAAAATCTTTTGAGCTCTCTGCGATGACCAGCAGAACCATTTACCCGAAAGACTTGACTAGTTTCTGATCTGTGGTTCATTCGAGTCAGAGAGTATTTAGTGAGCCTTCCTTGTATTCCAAGGCTGTGAAATAGTAATTTTTTCCTATGCGCTTACTTAATCAGAACATTGAGCACAGACATTTGGGTTCCCATTATAAAGGGAGAATGCATAACAAGAGAATCCATGATTTCTTCTGATATCTGGGCTGAGGAAGAGTCATTATCACAAACAACACTGGTAGGGTCCCAATGTTCTCACTGGAACTTACAGGCCAACCAAATCTGAATTTCACATAGAGTGTGACGTTCCTTCAATGACTCCTTGACTGCGTGGATGTGTCTCCTACCCCTGCCATCTTGAGGATGGGTTCTGGGTAGGCTCCATGTTATATTGACCTTTGATTTCCTCCCTGTTTCCTCTGTCCTTCCTTCTAGCCAGTGTCCAACCAGCACTCATTAAGCAATTCATCCTCTTACCCTAAATTCAAGCGTAATTTGAAACGCTTGGTAGGAGTTCTTCAGAGGTTCAAAAGTTACATAGGAATGGCCAAAGAACTGGGGATACTGAATGGCAATATCTGAAAAGGAACAGAAACACAAAGAGAGGTTTCACATCACTAACTCTTCACATCATCAAAAGCAAACATCAATATACACATTGCTTGAAAAGGCCTGAGTGAAAACCCACATTAAGCCACTCAACCTGGTGTGCTATCTCTTTTACTTTGTATACCCACTCTTCTCATTCTTTGAGACTTAGAGCTTTTGAAATCTTTAGGAAGAAACTGGATTTTGGAGATTGGCACTTACTTGCCTGATAAGAAACCCAGTTATTCCTGACCATTGATGCTCTCTCTTCAGCTTGACTTCTGTGTGACTGAATTTGGTCCAATTTCTATTATGATGTCCCCTGTGTACACCTCAGCTGATTTTATTTTATAGATAGATTGTTGTTATGTGCCATCAAGTCACAACCAGCTTAAAAGCACATCGTTTAGTGGATTTTCTGTTATTGTTCTTAAGAGCCTTCGAGTCAGAACCAACTCATAACTAACCCTCTGATGGGTTTTCAGAGGCTGTAAATCACAAGGGAGGAGACTGTCCATCTTTTTGCCAAGATGCAGCTGGTGGATTCAAACCACAACTCTCTGGGTTTGAAACTGCTTACCATTAGGCCTCTGGAGCTCCAGAGGCCGTCAGTTATACAGGATGAGATCACCCATCCTTCTCCTGAGGAACAGCTGATGGGCCCAACTATCTGTTTTGGGGTTGGCTATGGAACTCCTTACTCACCAGGCCACCGGAGTGCCCATCAACTTCTCCAAGGTTCTGCTGGGATGCTTTAATGATAGGAATAGAACCGCTGCCTAGTGGTAAGAAGTAACACTGCCAACCCTAAGGTACACAGTTTGAATCCATCAGCTAAACCACTGGAAAAATCTGGACAATCCTGTGAAATGTAAAGCCTCTGAAAACCCATTGGAAGGTCAGCTATGCTCCAACTCAGAGAAACACAACAACAGCAATAACAACAGCAACAACAACAGCAACGACAACGCTTCATTAGAAGGGCAGTTCTGGTGGCCAATTAGTAAAGAGTTGTGCTGTCAACCCAAAGGCAGGCAGTTTGAATCCACTAAATGTTCCTTAGGAGTTTTGTTGTTAGGTGTCATTGAGTCAATTTCAACTCCTAGTGACCTTACACAATAAAGTAGAACTGCTCCATCGAATTTTCTAGGCTTTTAGAAGCAGTTCCGTAGGTCTTTCACCTAAAGAACCATTGTTATTGTTAGATGCTAACAACACCTAATATTCAACTATGACTCATAGCGACCCTACAAATAGATTGAAACCTTGCCCTCCTCACAAGCTCCTCCATGCTCAAGCCCGTTATTTCAGCCACTGTGTCAATCTATCTCATCAAAGGTCTTCCTCTCTCTTATTGACCCTTTCTTTACCCAACATCAAACCACCAATCTTTTGATTGGTAACCAAGTGTGCTTAACCATTGTGCCAACAAGGATCCTTGAAGGAAGCACGTTTCAATTATAAAAGAGACTTCTGCCTCCAGTTGGTGGGGAGGGGCACCCAACCCAACACCATGTTCTTTTTCCCCAGGGAACTTACCTTCTGAGCAGCTCTCCCCGCCTTTGCCCAGGTTGCAGTGGCATCGTGAGCCCCCCCAGGTGTAGTCATTGACACAAAAGCTGTCAGCAGAGCAGATGGTCTCATCGCAAGACATGTCAAAGAGCCTGGGCATCATATCCACACGCGCCTTCTTACTCTGCGCTGGCGTGCTGTGGGGCGGCACTGCAGTCGTAGGGAGAGATGCTAAGGTGGGACCAGCAAACTCAGAAGTACCCTTTGAATTAGATACAGAGGGCATCTTGGTTTCCACCACAATCTTCTTATTCCCTCCTTTGGTGGCAGGAAGTGGCTTCACCTAATGCCAGAAAGATAAAAGGGATCTGAATGAACACAGAACGCAGTGGCTTAGCTGTGGATGATACTTTGATCTTGAAGATACAGTCACTTTTTTTTCTGAATATTTTAAATTATAAGCATTGTATTTTGTATTTTTATGGCTTATAGATTTTTTACAGCATTTTCTTTCCATTTAATTTTCCCCCATTTATTCATTGTTGCACATTTTCCTCCCTGACCACCTGTCCCCCCAGTTTGTTTTTCTCTTTAAAAAAAAATTCTTTCATTGTTATATAATCCCCCCAAGTCCACAGTCCACTTTACTATGCATTTTTTTCTGTAATCTTGTCATGATTATATTACCAAATCCTATATTCCTTTTAAATAATTATCTCCATCATCTGTTTCAGTGCAGTATATATTATTTATCCCTCTTTTCTTAGGTTTCCTCCAACCCTGATGTCAGTCCCGTTTTACAACAGTGGCACTATATAGTATTTGTCCTTTTGTGACTGAGATATTTCACTCAGCATAATATTAGCAAACTAACTAATTTAAATTTTAAGTAAAATGTTCATGGAGCATTGACTAAATAGTTTGGTAAGAAAAGAACATGCTGTGTTTAGAGCAAAGACTTTGTGTTACCTCCTCAAAGGAAATATCCAGGTCTAAGTCATCTTCAAATCCATCATCGTCATCACCGATGCCCATGTCAGTGATATAATGGGGTCCATAGTGGCCGCTCCCCGCTTCCTCAGTGCCTAAACAAAGCAAAGCAGCACACCTCGGTTAGTGTATATCTTCTCTTCATTTTCTACTCTAAAAGTGTGGTCCTAATCAGAGCTGTGTGGAATGGACCCAAATCTACTGCAGATATGCATGGAATTCACAAAGCTTGACTCTATGAAGAAGAATGTGACATCAGGACTGGAGGAAGACTCATCAACAAGTTGCATTATGCAGGTAACACAACTTGATGAAAATGAGGAGGATATGAAACACTTGCTGCAGAAGATCATGAACTACAGCCTTCGATATGGATTACATCTTAACAACCAGAAGACAAAGACAACAGGCCTAACAGTCAACATTATGACAGATGGAGAAAGGAGTGAAGTTGTCAATGATTTCATTTTGTTTGGATCAACAATCAGCATTCTTTATACCAGCAGTCAGGAAATCAGGAGACATATGCTGGGTTTGAAGAGGTTCTGGCACTAGAGACAATATTGCAGATACCAGATGGATCTTAGCAGAAAGTAAAGACTACTAGAGGAATGCCTATTTGTGCTTCATTGACATGCAAAGGCATTTAATTGTGTTGATCGCATCAAATTGTGACTCTCCTTGAGAAGAATGGTGCTCATGTGAAACCAATACTTGGACCAGGAAGCATTATTCACAACAAAGCAAGGGAACACTGCATGGTTCAAAATCAGGAAAGGAGTGCATCAGGGATGTGTGCTGTCTCTGTACCTTTTCAATCTATAAGCAGAACAGATCATTCAGGACTCTGGGCTTTATGAGGAGGAATGTGACATCAGAATTGGAGGAAGACTCATCAGCAAGCTATGTATGCAGATGCTTGCTGGAACTGAGGAGAATCTGAAGCACTTGCCCCAGAAGGTCAAGGACTCTAGTCTTCAATATAGATTGAGGCTGAACATTAAAAAAACAAAGATTTTTTCCACTGGGCCAATTGGCAGCACCAGCGACAGATGGAGAAGAGATTGAGGCTGTTAACAGATTTAGCTTTTTTGACTCTATAATCAACACTCCTGACATCAGCAATCAGGAAATCAAAAGATGAGAAATTCACTGAGAAATCCGCTGTCAGGGACCTCTCCAGAGTACTGAGAAGCAATGATGTCAATCTAGAGGTATCTCTAGATGTTTGATCGAGGCCATGATATTTGCAATTACTTGTTACTCATCAGAAAGCTGGATAATAACTAAGGATGATAGAAGAAGAATTGATGCCTTTGAATTGTGGTGCTGAAGAAGAGTCTTGAACATATCATGGACAGCCAAGAAAACAAATACATTTATCTTGGAGAGGGTGAAACCAAGTTTCTCTTTGGAGGCTAGAATTTTGAAGCTCTGTCTCACATACTTTGGGCATGTAGACAGAAGGGACTGGTCCTTAGGGAAGGACATTATGCTTGAAAGGTTGGAGGGACAGTTCAGGAGAGGAAGACCTTGGAAAAGGTGGATTGATACAGTGACTAGGGCAATGGAAGTTGGCGTGCCAGAGTCAGTGAGACTGGATGAGGATAGGGCAGGCTTTGGAACTGTTGTACACAGGATCATTGTGAGTCACAAGTGACTTGACAGCACACAACAACAATTGCTTTGGGAAAGTCTTCTGCCAGGGACCTCTCCAAAATGCTGAAGAATAATGATGTCAGTTTCAAGACTAAGGTGCACCTGATTTGGGCCATGGTCTTTTCAAACACCTGCTATGCACCCAAGAGCTAGACAATGAATTAGGATGATGGAAGAAGAATTGATGCCATTGGGTTATGGTGCTAGAGAAGAGTATGACTATCCTATGGACTGTCAAAAGAGCAAACAGGTGTGTCTTAGAAAATGTGCAGTTAGAGTGCCCCTTGGAGGTAAGGATGGTGAAGCTTCATATTTCATACTTTGGACATGTAGCTAGGTGAGGCTATCCTTTGTAAAGAGGCATCATACTTGGAAAGACAGAGGGTCAGTGAAGGAAAGGAATAATCCCAATGAGATAGATTGACACAGTGACTTGAGCAATGGGTTCTAGTATGTCAGAGATGACACAGGATAGGATAGGGTTCAGGCTGACTGTTTTTAGGGCCTCTACGAATTGTACTCAACTCAGTGGCACCTAGCACCACCACTACATGGGGTGCAACAAGAGGAGGAAGCAAAAATGACCACAATGTATATTCAAAACACATCAAATAACAATATTCATCTCATTAGTCATCATGGATGGATACCACAAAGACCTGCCATTTTGGAAAGACAAGACAGGCAGCACTATGAAGTTAAGCACTCTATAATTACCAAGGATGGAATCGGTGGGATCCTTTATATACCACCATTAGATGTGGAAAGCTGAAGTTTAGCCAAAATATTTATAAGTACTTAAACTATCTAACAATATTACATGCAAGCAAAACTGTGTTGAAAATGATTAAAAAAATGGCCAGAACATTGACAGGGAACTAAAAATGACTGAAATAGTACATTGACAGAACTACCTGAAAAACAAGCTAGGTTTAGAAGAGGCCATGGCAGTAGAGTTATCATTGCCAATATCAGATGGATCTTGGCCGAGAGCAGAGAAGACTGGAAAAAAAATGTCTGATTTTCATTGACTATGCAAAGCCATTTGACTGGATCACAACGAACTGTGGCTGACCTTGAGGAGAATGGGAATCCCAAAACACTTGATTGTGCTCATGCAAAACCTATAGTTGGACCAGGAGGCAGTCATCAGAACAGAGCAAGGAAACACTGCATGGTTCAGAATTGGGAAAGGAGTGTATTATGGATGTGTCTTGTCTCATCTATATGTAGAACAGATCATTTGGGAGGCTAAGCTTTATGGGGAACGTGGCATCAGAACTGGAGGAAGACTCATGAACAAACTACGTTATGCAGATGACATAAAATCTTGTTTGCCAAAAACACGGAGAGCCTGAAGCATTTGCTGCAGGAGGTCAAGAACTGTTGTCTACAATATGGATTCAAGACATCAGGACATCAAGAAGACAAAGATTCTCATCACATGATAGATGGAGAGGAGATCAAGAATGTTAACAATTTCAGTTTGCTTGGCTCCACAATCAACACTCTTGGCACCAATAGTCAGAAAATCAGGTGAATTGCATTGAAAATCTGCTGTCAGGGACTGCTTCAGGGTGCTAAAGAACAACAATGTCACTCTAGAGGCTAAAGTGTGTTTGATCCAGGCCATGGTCTTTGCAATTATTTGCTATGCATCAAAGAGCTGGACAATGACTAAGGATGACAGAAGAAGGATAAATGTCTTTGAACTGTTGTGCAAGAGAAGAGTGTTGAATATTCCATGAACTTCCAAGAGATCAAACAGATTTGTCACAGAGAGGGTGAAACTAAGTCTCTCCTTGGAGGCAAAGATTTTGAAGCTTTGTCTCAGACATTTCTGGGCAAGTTGCCAGCAAAGACCAGTCTACGAGAAGGACATAGTGCTCAGAAGGGTAGAGAAACAGCACAAGAGAGGAAGATCTTGGATGAGATGGATTGACAGTAACTGAAGTAATGAGGTTAGGTGTGTTGGAGACAGTGAGACTGATTCAGGATAGGACAGCCTTCAGAGCTATTATGCATAGGGTCTCTAAGAGTCATTGGTGACTTAACTGCCTGTAACAGTAACAATAATAAAATAGACAAGTATTTACACCTTTTGATGCAGAAATCTGAACCCTAATTTGATCAACCTAGAGAAACTCTTGAACATCTGTGGCAGGAACATATGCAAAGCAAGTCCACAGTACCATTTATAATAGCAAAGAATATCCAATTTTCTATTTAAAGTAGCTATTTAAATAACACCCTGCGCGTCCATCAACAGGACAATGAATATGTGAATTGTGTATTCATGCAGGAATAGGGAAAATAAATGAATGAGAATTTAACACATCAACATCAATAAATACACATGACATCCTGCAAAAAAATGCAAGTTTCATAAGAACCCTCCACTTTGATACCATTTACATAAAAATCAACTGCAGGAAAAACTTACTATGATATTCAGGCATACATAAATGTACATCATTGTAACAGACTAATGAACCTAACAGCGGTTAGTGTCCAGAAAACCGTGTGAGGGATGGTGGTATTAGAATTGAGAAAGGTAGACAAGGGAGGAATGCCTGACCTCACATGGATTGATTTTGTGTCATTGATGTTGGTGATGGGGACTTATTTCCCTTCTGGAGTTAGTGATGGTCAATGATATTCCTACGCTGTCTGCACTCTTGTTTTTCTTTTACAAAATAGACACTATTCCTTCTCTATGCAAAAACACAGATAGAAAAATGGAGCTGAGGAAAGAGAGTTGTGGGGAATTGTTTCTGAGGCATGGAGTTGCTCTTTGCCCTGTTGGCCAGAAATTGCCTTAATCAGGAAGGTAGAAAGGTGGCTGGCAGCGGACTCACACAGGCACAGTGAGTGTCCCCAGTGTTCAAGTACATCTAGGAGGAGATGAGATAATAGAGTAGAATGACACTCTCACATTTACCCATCCACGGTTCCCCAGGTTTTATTTGAAATAGACCTTCTGTCAGTAAAACTCAAACCTGCTCAGATCAGAATCCCACCTGCATGCACATTCCTTTAAGTCACCTTCATCCAGCCAACCCAGCTGTGTGCCAGATGTTTTCATGCAAAAGTCAGACAATGCTTCCTTCCCTCTTGTCTCTCTTAATTTCTCTCTTTCTCTCTTTGTGTCTCTATCTCAAACAATCAGAGTTATGGGATTTTAGAGGAAAGGATCCAGGATGTTTGTTGTAATGCGTATGTGTAGAAGGAGGATTTTCACCTTGAGGAAGCTGTTCTCTACCTCCTGGGAAATTTCTTGCCAATCTTGTGTGTACTGTCACCAGTGGCAAGATTTACTCCCTAAAATATATATTTATCTTTTCATACGTTCCCTGTAAAACAAACAAAACATCCCAAACCATCAATGTCCCCTGACTGCTTACAAGAAAAATTCTCAAGTCCTTGGTCCAGAATT